TCATCTTTTTAAGTGGGAGAACTTGCACAATTGGTGGCTGACTAAATACTTTTTTGCCCCACTGTATTTTACTAAAGAATACAAAGTCTTCCAACTCCTAAAAGATTCAGGGGGGTGAAAATTCAGTCTTCGGAAGCTGAATTGTACTGCAAAAAGGTTGCCTGGTCAAACTTTAAACTATGATTTATTCATTGCAATGACTGTGTTTGTTCACATTTTAGCTCAGCAGAGCTAAAGCTACTGGGCTGTTAAAAGTTTTTTAAAATGTAATAATAATTTTAAAAAGTAACGTGTGCATCCAGCTTCACCCTATCTTTTTTGTCAGTGATCAATGTGATTTATTTATTAAACATGATGGCCTGAAATGCACATTGAAACATTGTGTTGCTATAAGCTCCTTTTGTAAGTCACACTAAAGGTTATTAGCATTTTTCTAATATTCATTCTGATATTTTTATATGAAATGGTTATTATTGCCCCAATTGGGGCTGGCAAGAAAATGTTGCTAAGTGTTTCCTCTAGCATTTCAGCCACCCATGCTTCACCCCCAACGTCCTATAATTATCCCACAACGTTATTATTTCTCTTCCTGTCCACTATATTGCTGTTTAAGAATTTTCCTACTGAGTATTTTGAGGCGCGTAGGGAGTGTAGCTGCAAGCGTTAAATGCCCTCCCAAGCCAGCTGATATCTTCCTGTTATGCTGGCTATTTTTTGCTCTGAAAATGAACCTGCTTTTTTCTCCAGTTGGTCACATTACAGATGTATCCGGCATGCTGGCTATCTAACCTATTAATTGCCATCAACACATCTGGAAGGTAGAAAGCTGGGGAAAGATGGTCTATAGAACTGTTTAATCCTATAGGTCTCTTGGAGAAAAGTAACACGTATGTACGCACACAACTCCAACATCACAAAGCACTGAGCCAGTTTCTGCTGGGGGAAAGAAACTGAGTTTGTTAGCGAAGAAGAAATGATATCCGTGTTCCATGCAAAGTTTTTCCCGTTAATTATTCCATCAGGACAGATCAGACTAATTTTCTCCAGATGTTCAGAGGCTGATTGGCTCTAAATATTAATCTTCACTACTGAGCGAAAGAGATCAACAAATCCATGGAGACTGAACAGCCGTTATTACCTGCAACTTATAGTGGCAAATTCTGTATTTTAACTAGGTTCTATGCAGGTCGGCCCTTTCCTTTGTCTTTCTTGAACCTGGTTTCTTGAAAAAGATATTCATCCTTGAACTCAGAACTTCAGCCTTACCCAAGATGGCTTCCTCTTCCTCCTCCTCCTCTTCTGCATCTGTGGAGATACAGCTTTCCACAGTGTCTGAGGGATCATGCTCAGATGTGGGGGAATTCACAAATTCCTCCTCTAGTAGTCCAGGCACCTGAAGAACAAGAGACACCAAGTGTGCCTGATTAGCCAAGATGTCACAGACCGAAGTCTTTGATATGAAGTGAGCAACCTTAAAGAAGCTAAGCAAGTTTGCTTGAAAGAAGAGAATCAAGGAATCTTCCTTGGAGTTTTACAATGGAAAAAAAGGTGGAAGGTCATATAATTCAGTCTTCCCCTACTTATTGCCTCCAGTGTTTTGGACTAAACTCCCATCGTCACAGCCAGGCTGGTTGTCCAACACAGCAGAAAACAGCTTGAAGGAGATATTCTATTTCTTGTCATCCAGTTTTCTATTTTACTTTCCCAAATAATGTTTGGTACCTACTATGCAAGATCAAGCCTCACATCCACTATCGCTGCATGTGCCTTTTTCTATCTGTTTTTGTATTGAGCAACTGGATCCCATCGTGTTTCTGTTTTAACTGTTTGTTATGAGCTGCTCAGAGTTGGTTTGTAGTTGAGTGACACCTAAATCAAAGCAAACAAATAAATAAATAAATAATTGCTTTATCCTGCTGCAAGGCTTGGAAATGCCCTAAAAACGCTGGTAGATCCAGTCCTCATTGCTTTGTCTCCATTTCCATTGGCACACCCCGGATTTGTATTCAGCTCATTAAAAAAAAAACACCCAAATTTCTCAACTATGATATGGTTAAAGTGTTGCAAACTGATCCTGAGGCCCATCCAAAAAGGTAGAAGATTCTTTTGTTAATTGTGTAGGGAGGCTTTTTTAAAAGTATATTTAGACATTTTGTCAATTTTTTTCTTGTAATTTGCAAATACTGTAAACATTATTAAAAAGACACAGAGGATCACAGAAAGAAAAGGATCATTTTGGTTCTCAAGGCAATTCTTACTCCCCCAACAGGCTGGCAGAAAAATATCTCCTATCCCACTGGGGGGGAGGATGGGGGGGATGGCAGAAAGCATTTTTTTTTTCACTTTGACAAGGTCCATGTCTTGTGCCACCATAGGACAGTTTTAGCTGAATGGTTTGCGGAAGCTTAGCCACTGTGGTTGGTAATTTATCCCTTATGGCTAAGTGTGCTGTAGGAATTTACTCATTTGGGCTTACTCAAAGTCTTGGATAACGGAGATCCCTGAATTGCAGATTTCGGTTATTGTCCTTTGGGTTCAGCCCAAAAGTATTCCAGACAAAGGACAGTCCACTTTCCTTGAAAATTTCCTACACTGTAGAGCCCACTCCCTTCCCAAGCAATTGTTTTCCTTACTTATAATCAGAATCTGCTTTTCCATAATGTAAAGGTTATTATTCCATTCTGGGACAACTTTCCTCTGCGTGACATCCTTTCAAGTTCAGTGAAACTTTGTTTTAACAGACTATTTTTAGGGGAAGGGTTTCTGTTGCTCCCTGGTGTCCATTAAACACAAAAGGACATATTGCAGAGATTTATGACATTTGCCTACCAGTGTCAGCATGCAAGTGGTGTAAACCACCACAGATGTTGTAATATTAACATAAATTTAAGTGCTTTGTCCAGATTTGTTTGCTATCTCAGGGGGATGCAACAGACTGCATGTGGGATTCATGCGGGATATTTGGATAGAAATATGGCCCACTGTCTCTGAAGTCTACTAAATGGGTGTCCATTAAATCAAAGTTTTGCTATACTTGAAGAGTGTCATCACATCACCCCAAAGGCTACTCTTCTTTAGGTTATTCTCAGTTCCCTTATTCTCTCCTCATGAGACTTGGTTTCTCACCTGACCGACTTTGCTGTCCTTCTCAGAACAAATTCCAGTTTCTCTAAATAAGCCTTCAGGGATAGACTCAGTAGCTGTGTTCACACAATTTACTTAAGCATGCTGCATTCATACAACTACTGATGTGTGAACCTAGACCAAATCCAGAGGGTGGACTAATACATAAACCAAACTGAGCATATTGTGTATGGGTCCAACCCATAAGGGACCTCCCCAGTGCAGAACAGATTGAAACTCCTGTATTAATTCACATCATTTAGAAACAATATTCCTACTGCTGCAACCTTGAATTGTATGTGGCTTTTTTATAGCCATTGCAGATAATGGACATCCTAATTTAGAAATTAAGGCCCACAAAAGTTGGCAGAGTCTGGACCACATTTGGTTGCTAAATGATATACCCCAGCTAAGATACCTGGCTACATCTTGTAGACTTCTGCAGAAGGCCACGTTCTGAAGTCCCATCTCAAAATCATGACATTGGAAGAGCACATTGTTTGAACAACACACCTACCTTTTGTTCACAAGACTCAGCTTCTTGCAGCCGAAGGAGGAATTTTTCTGCTAGAGCCAAGGCCTGAGAACATGTGGCGGGACCACTTTTGCAGACCCAGATCTGCATCTCCAGTGGCAGGATGGTCAGGAACTGCTCCAGGATCACCAGATCCACAATCTGTTCCTTGGTGCGCCTCTCTGGCAGAAGCCACTGGCGACAAAGCTCCTGGAGTTCGTTCAAGACTGCTCGGGGGCCCTCGATCTCCTGGTAGCAGAAATGCCGGAAATGTTGGCGCTTTATCTCCAAGCTGTCAATGTTCACCTCAGCCAAGGTCTGTTCTTTCAAAGGCCCTGAACTTGTCAAGTTCTCACAGGCTTTCTGGGTTTCCCTGCTGAGGCCCTGCAAGGTAGGCCTCCCCATTGCACGCCCTTCCCTGATCAACTGGTTGGGCTGTTTCATCATCCGATACGAAGCCTTGAACGCCATCATATCCTCCTCAGATACCGGCTCAAACAACCGCGAAGGCCTCCACACGGAATAGAGAGACGGCACCGCCGCCAACCCTTCTTTCTGCCGCTGAGTCTTCTGGCTCTCCTGCAGACCTGTGTCCAGTCCCTGCTTGCTCTGCAGCAGAGCAGCCCCCGTCAGGAGATTCCTGGCCGTTTCCCTTCGGAGAACACAAGAGTTTCTTTCCACTTGGTTCACGCGGGGCTTTGCCCCCCACAGGTCACACGATGCCATTTTAGTTGCTGGCTGGACAATCTGAACTGGAAAAAGAAAATTCCCTAATGGATCAATGCAACTTGATACCCCTTATGGATGTTCTGCATAAAAATGAACAAAAAAATGAATTTGTGGTTTACGGTTAGACAGGATAGATTATAGAATGAAGAGAGTCATGATGTAACTCTAGATAAAGAGGTTAAAACATAATTATACTATAACTGCTGTGAAGAATATCAAAAGCCACCTCCTAATATCCTTTTTCTTTTTATCTTTTATATAGATATAAATACATCTTATATTTTTATAAGATATATACCTTATATCTATTCTCCTTCATATCTTTCTTTTTCTACTTTCTTCTACTTTTCTTCTTATTGCACATTTAGCTTTTTTATTTCTCTTTCCTTTTTGTTTTCTCTGTTCTATTTTAGTTTGTATTAGTTCTTATTATTGCTGTTAAAACTTTCAATAAAAATTATTTTTTAAAAAAAGGTGAACACAGTTGGTGCCTAATGTACATTTCAACCCTCTGTTGTACTTGATGTGGCTTTTAAAATAACCTAAATACTTTAGGGAGCAGCCAGTGTCAGGCAGGTTGACCTCAGAGGCTCTAGTTTTTATCCTCAGGCTATAAATAAGATTAGGAATATGAGAAGCAGAATCTTCTCAATTGGGGTGTCAAGATTGTGGGAATGCAACTCACTTCTATCCCTTTGTACGAGCAAAAAAAGGGCCTAGTTTATGGCCGGTTGAGAAAAAGGCAAAATCTCACAGGAATCCTGAATTCTAAATATTTATTTTAAAAAGAAGTGTTTCAGATTTTTTTCCCCTCTCTTCTGGGACAATTTTCATTATTCTGCTAAATGGAAGAAAAAAAAAATCAGTGTTCCAAAAAAATGACTCTTTTTCTCACCTGGTTAGTCCTGGGCTTCTCCTTGCAGGGACTTTGTTTCTACTTCAGCAGTCAGATTCAGTTTTAATTCAGATTCCTGTACAGGAAGGGAGCTTGCACCTTTCCAACCTTATGATTCTCCTTTGCAGGCAGAACCTTCCAGGTCCAATCACAAGTGTCTCCAATTAGAGATGGACAGAAAGCAAGTAATGATCTATCAACCAATCTGTTCCAAATTACAGTAATACCTCGGTTCACGAATGCTTCTGTTCACGAACAATTCGGTTTGCGAACAGCAGCGTTCGGGAATTTTTGCTTCCGTTCGGGAACTCCACGTCGGGTGACGAACACGACCCGTGGCCATCTTCTCGGCTCTGACACGTGGTCGTGGCTTCCTCTAGGTGAGATTGTGGTCGCAGACAGACACTTGCTGTGAAGCTTTTTGGTGTCGCCTCAAGCAAGGTTAGTGTTCTCTCTCGTCATACTGTACTGTACTTTATTTCATATTTTTGTGGTTAAAAAAAAAAACATATGGTTCAGAACGGATTAACCTTATTTACATTGAACCTTATGGGGAAATTTGATTCGGGTCGCGACCAATTCGGTTCGCGACCATAGAATGGATTAAGTTTGTGAACCGAGGTACCACTGTACTTGGAAATCTGTAAGAGGTTCTGACCCCTTGTTAACACACCTATTGCTTTAGCCAGAGCAACAACAAAACAACTTTTCACCCCTCAATTTAGAGCAGTATTTCTCAACCTTGAGAACTTTAAGACGTGTGGACTTCAACTCCCAGAATTCCCCAGCCAGCCATGCTGGCTGGGG